ACATTAGTGAGGGATATCACATGCAGGCTCTGACTGTGACCAGAGCCCCCTCTGAAGCAGTAGTGGTGGCCGAGAGGGGCCCAGGAGGACCAGCTGGGATTCCTTGCTGAAGTCCTTCCTGGATGCTTGGCCCAGCTGGGAGCTGGAACCAAGGATGGCATCTAGGGCCCTGCCCTCGAGGCTCACACAGAGACCAGAGATCTTCATGAGGTGAGCAGGAGGAGCAGAGGGGACAGGGGACACCCCACGGGGAGGATGAACCCTGCATGGAGGAGGCAGCAGAGGCAGGCCAGGGCCCCTCCCACATGCCCTCACGGCCCCCTCCACTCTCCCACCTATCTGCCATACCCCCGCCAGCCTGCCCAGAAGGAAGAACCCAACTTAGAAGGACAGACTCCCAGCCGGGCCTGTGGGGTGAGCCAGGGGCCGACACTTGGCTGGCTGCTCACCCATAGGCACAGCTCCTCCCATTGAGGGCCGTTATCTCCCTGACCCAGCTGTCACTGTGGGCAATGCAGCCACCATTATCTGGGGTGCCAGCTCCCACTCCTAGCCAGTGTGGCTGTGACCTGGGTGCCTTGGTCTGGCTGCAGCCTGGCAGCTCCCCCAATACGGCTGTTCCTGTTCCCGCAGTGCCTCTGCTCTCCTCACAGGCCCTCTCTCCTCCCACCAGGCCTCCAGCATCCCGGCCAGGCCCACGGTACAATCATCCCACTCTGAAGGTGTGGAAACTGAGGCCTTGGGAAGCCAGGCAGCCATTACAGCTGTGGCACTCATTGGGTGGTGCTAAGAATCAGCCTCCGCCCCCAGCCCATGACAGCCACAAGAGCACTGGGCCCAGAGAAGTAGGGTGATTTATTTAAGATTGTATTGCATCTTGAAATTAAGAAAAAAGGGAACACTACCTTGGAAAATAATACAGCTTTGTTTACTCATCAGCCAAAGTCAATGAACATTGACATTTCATCCCCTTTCAGTTCTTCTTTTCATAAAAGAAACAAAATGTAACCAAAGTCCCTTTGTTTTCTGATGTCCCGTTGCCCTCCCCGCTGCCGTCGCTGCCCAGGGTGTGTGTAGATGTTACTGTAAAGTGGAGGTGACCCTGGGTCACCTGCTGGCTTTCTCCCATCCCAGGGGAGGGTACAGGGCTGTTTTGCCTGGGAACAGCTGGTTTGATCATGAGTGGGGTGTGCATCCCTTGTTCCCAATGGAAGGGGGCCCAGCAGAGGCCCAGCCCTTCAGGGAGACCTGTGGCCACCCCATAGCCAGGTATGCACGGGCTGGGGCCTCGCCTCCCCCGAGCTTCAGTGTCCTCATCTGTAAAGTGGGGAGAAGTACCTGTGAGACCCCAGACAGGCGGCTGTGGCCAAGGCTGCTGGAGTGGGCTCACCTGGGGTGGCACTCAGCACTGGTGCACGCTCTGGTTCTGGGAGCCCAGGGCAGCATGCCACACTCCCCGGGGGAAACCAAGGCCCAGGGAAGCAGAGTTCGTGGAGACCAGGCTGGGCTGGCACTTCAAGAGTCTGCTTGGTCTCGGCCAGTGCCCTCCCCTGCCCCTCCCGCATGAGATCGGCAGCCACCCCTGCCAGCAGCAAGTATGAATGATGGAGTAATGAACCCTGCCTGCCCGTTGAAGAATCCAGGCAGCCGTGTGCTCCTCAGGGACAGGGACTCCTGCTTCAGTTGTTATCACATCACCTGTAAAGAAGCATGAGATGTCCCAGAAAAGCCACTTGGCTTGCCTGTCATCATACAGGTCTCCACACCGGGTGTCTGGGGACTGTGGTGCCAGGCGAGAGCGGCCTGGAGCCTCGCTTACCCTCCACGGCCAACGCACTGGATGCCTGGGGAGCCTAGGAGAGGGGACACTCTACTTACCCTCCTCTGCCTGCCCCGACCTGACCTCCAGTGCCAGGGGCACAGGCACCAGATGGGCCCGACCCCTTGGTCACAGCCCTGGGTCATGGCCTGAATCAGCCACTGGGCCCACAGGACCTTAGGTGCCGCTCTGAGCCCTGTGTCCACTTGTGTGGGATGGGGACTTAACAGCACCTGTCACCTCACTCGTCCCAAGGGCCTGGCTGAGTGTGTCTCCTCCTCCACCCAGAGCCACTCAGTGAGGGCACTGGTCCCTTTGGTTCCTGTGTAGGCCCCTCCTTTGTCACCCCTGAGCCAGGCATTTCAGTCCTCCTCCAGGGACAGTGTAGCCACCTTTGCTGCGGTCAGTGTCTGAGGTGCCTGTGTGCTCCCCGAGATCCGGTCCTTGTCTCATTTAGGCCTGCACTGTCTGTGACAGCACTCACTGCGACCAGCATCCTGTGAGGTGAGGGGGTACTTTCTGGACCACCCCACGTGTGAGAGCAGTGCCAGGCCTGGCCATCACAAGCCCCCCCTCACCCTGCACAGGGGGCTCAGTGTAGCATTCCCGTGTCAGAGTCGCAGCTAAAAGCCACTGCCTTCCATTTTGAATCTAACTTCCTTAGTGCTGAGCACAGGCTCTATCAGTGATTGCATCAGCCGGAGCTGCAGACAGACAGCATATAAAGAAAGTTGAAGGAGAGAGCGTGGGCTATCACTGTGTTGGTTAATTCCCCGCAGGTGGGAGAAATGAGCCCTTAATTCCTGAAAGAGCATGTGAGGGACATTTCCTGTTTTCCTTCTACCTGCCCTGTTGGCCTTACCCTGTTAATTAGCATGGACTTATTTCTTGGGGCCTGTTCCTCAGATTGTAAAGTGACCTGTGATTAATCAGCTTAAGGAAAGCCACCTGGGGCCCCGAGGGTCAGCTTTGCTGGGTAAAGAGAGATGGGTATGAGCCTTTAAGACATTCTCACCTTGCTGCTGCCCTCCTGGGATGTGGCAGGATTTGAGTGGAGGGCGCTGCATGCATCCCCCCACCCCCAGCAGGGAAGGCGTTACATGCGTGTCCTGTGACCGGCATGAGCACAGGGCAGCAGGGAGGGCACTACACGCATGTCCAGCACGTGCCGGGTAGTGGTCAACAGCCCACTCTCTGGGAAGAAGCTGCCACCCGTAGCCTGTGCCCATAACTGGTGAATGCTCTGCCATGGCTGATCTCGAGCAGCCACCCCAAGGTCGCCAAGCATGGAGCTAAGGGAGAGTGGAGGCTCACCACATAGTGTCCAGCGTAGACACAGAGAACCTCAGATAGGAGTGACGCAGAGTAAAATCATTAGGAAGCAGTGTGTTGAGTGTTCTTTGCTATGCACCGACTTAACTGCAACTGGCAATTGGTTATTTGTTGTCTTGGTTTTAATGTGGTATTCTTAACTGTGATCATAAGTAGCTGCTGTGTCTGACGGCTGCTCCACACACTTGAACATCTCCACGGCCTCTCCATGCTCTGGGGTCTGGGGCACACCTGGGCAGGCCCTGCTCATGTTGGGGAGCATGTGTTGAGCCCAGCTGGGCCCTAAGGAGGCCCCAAGTCTATCCTGAGTCTTCTCCCTGCCCTGAGGAGGTTGCTTCTGATCTTCTGGTAAAGCAGTGCCAGCCCGGCTGCTGCTCCTGAGGGGTCAGGGCGGGGTTGGGGTGTGGGAGTACGGGGCTGGTGGACTTAGGTCCAGGCTGGGTACCTGCAGCCATCCCTGGGTCATCTGCTGTCTCTTGGATCTTTCAGGACAGGGTTGTTGCCCTTGGGGGTGGCCTGTCCTGGGCTATGCAGTCTGCACTTGGCTGAGCCCCTGTGGCACTGAGTCAAACCGCGTGTGCCCCTCGGGGCTGTGAAGACCTAGCTACCCTTACTTGGGGTGTTCTAAATTCTTCCCTTTGTTCTTCATGCTGTGTGTTTCTGAGTTCTTTGCCATCCTTGCCTATCTCTATCGCAGACCCGCCACTCCCCAAACCTCGACTCTCCAGTGCCACTGCCCCAATCTACTCGTGGGGCTCCGGCCAGCGCTGATCTACTCCCTAAGACTGCAGAGTCATTGGGGTGTCTGTAAGACATGACGTGATGTTGCTTCCCTTATGTGTCACTCCAACAGCACCAGAACTGGAGCATGTGTGTGGTGTTTCCTTACTGCGCTGAGGCTGCCTGGGCATCACCAGGAGCTGCTGAGGGGTTTGCGGGATGGCATGGGTCTGCTTGTCAGAGATCTGTACCAGTAGGATGCCACATTTGCTTGTCCCACGTGTCTGGCTCCCGCGGGAGAGAGTTCCCACCTTCAGAAAGGGTAGCAGTACTGTGCCCAAGTCTGACCAGTCACGTGATGACTTTGAGTGAGTGCGAAGATGAACACAGTAAGCCTCCAGGGGGCAAGTTTGCATTTTAACCTGAACCTTCTGGAGATCAAGGCGTGACTCTAAGGGCTGGGGCAGGTGTATGGCAGGCGCAGGTGTGTCGTAGGTGGGGTGGTGGGAGGGTGGAGGAAAGGTTGGGCTGTTTCGATAGAGTCCCTTACCAAAAAAAACAAGCAGAAACAAACCCATTGCCATCAAGTCGATTCCAAATCATAGCGACTCCATGTGTTACAAAGTACAGATGCCCCATAGGGTTTCCAAAGCTGTAATCTTTAGGGGAGCAGAGTTCTTGCAGAGCTGCTGGTGGGTTTGAACTGCCCACCTTTCAGTTAGAGGCTGAACGCTTTAACCACTGTGCCACCAGGGCTCCTTAGAGTCTCTTAAGAGGTTGAAATTCATTCACTTAAAAAATGAATCCCTTATGACAGCCCAGGGAACCTGGGATTGTAGCTCTTTTGAATGTCAAGAACATTTGGTATTTTCAATCTCTGACCTTGGACCTGGAGAACCATCTAGTTCATTAAAACAAGTCGCAGGAAATCAGAAACTCTGGAGGGGCTGGCATGGGGTGGGCCTTAGACTCGGCTGGGCCCCGCCTGGAGCAGGCCCAGGGGTCCTGGGGCAGGCAGGTGGGTGGCAGGTCCTTTCAGTGCCCAGCGGGCCCCTCCCTCGTGTAGCTGGTGCTTCCCCTTGGGGCATGTCTGGCGGTCACTCACGCTGCCCTCCTCTCTGTCCCCTAGTGCTGCTCACGGCCGTGAACTGCTACAGTGTGAAGGCCGCCACCCGTGTCCAGGACGCCTTCGCAGCTGCAAAACTCCTGGCACTGGCCTTGATCATCCTGCTAGGCTTTGTGCAGATCGGGAGGGGTAAGTGCAGCCCTTTGGTCCCTGAGAGTATCCGGGCGACCTACTGGGTCCTCCTCACTCCGAAGGCAGGATCAGAGGCCAAACCATCCTGCCCCTGCCGAGACCCAAGACGCTGACATAGCCCACAAGATGTGTCCCTGTCATAAGTGGGCTATGGGTCCCCCTGTGACCCTGATATCCCCCATCATAAATGGGCTGTGGGGTCCCTGTCACCCCAGTATCTCCCAAGACCTGTGTCCCCAATATAAATGAGTCATGGAGTCCTCCTTACCCCGACATCACCCACAACCTGTGTCTCGTTATAAATGGGCCATGGGGTTCCCCGTGACCTTGATGCCACCCACGACCTGTGTCCCCATCATAAATGGGCATGGGGTCCCTGTGACTCCACCATTGCCCATGACCTATGTCCCTGTCATAAATGGGCTATGCTGTCCCCCATGACCACAACATCACCCATAGCCTGTCTCCCCATCATAAATGAGCTGTGGGGTCCCTTGTGATCCCGACATTGCCCAAGACATGTATCCCCATTATAAGCAGGCTGTAGCGTCCCCCACGCTGTTTATTGCACGGGTCTCACACTCAGTGACGACCACCTGGGTGAGTATGTAGGACGTCCCAGCACACCTTCTGAGCTTCATTTTCTCAATGGCTGAGCAGGTCATAGTCAAACCTGCCCCTGAGGTTGCTGGAGCAAGAAGGCCCGGAATGCTCCGAGCACTGCACTTGGCCCCAGGCAGTATTCAGCAGATGGGTTAGCTCATTACCGTGACTCCAAAACAGTCACTGAGTCCCCGCCAAGTGGAGGAAGACAGGGGTCTTGGCATGGGTGGTGGGAGGCAGGTAGTGAGTGCGTGGGGGTGGAGCGAGGCACTGGCACCCGCCACCCTCAGCACACAGGCTCTGCCTGCAGCTCACCCACCTCAGGCTGCCCTTGGGCTGGGAGTCCCTGCTCTTGCTGAGAGGGCCAGGACCTGGGCCCCTCTCCATGCTGCCCTCTTCTCAGTGTGAAGCTCCGAGTGAGCAGGGGCTGGCACCTTCACGGAGCCCACCATCCTTGCACACCTTGGAGCCTCTGCCGTGTGTTGGCAAGTGAAAGACCATCACACACCGCACCCACATGTCCTCGGAGCAAGATCGTCCCAAGAATTCCGGGCTGTGTCTGCTCCCTCCAGCCCCTACTGAATCACTACAGAATCATGAGCAAGCCCCTATGTTGGCATCCACAGATCAGAACATAATGGCGCCCTCGAGGAGGCACATTTGCTATGCAGGGGTCTCTGCTCAGGCCCTGTGGACTGAGTGCATCCCAGGCAGCGGACACCACAGCTGTGCCCCAGCTGGCTGTCCTCAGGGTGGGGAAGCCACAGTGCTGGTCCACACGGGCTGGTGAAGCCGAGTGTAAATGTACCAATGTGTGCGAACTGTATAACATGGCCCCTGGCAGGCACACCAGCTTCTGCATCATCATCATGATCATGAGGAGTGTCACCTGATCTCCAGGTCAACTGCACACACAGCCCACCTCATTCCTTAAAGGCCTGCTTTCTAGCAGACGTCTACACACTTCGTGATCTTAGAACCACCTAGAAGGTATTTAGAAGTCCACCTGTTCCTTAAAGGCCTGCTTACTAGCGGACATCTACATGCTTCATGATCTCAGAATCACTCAGCAGGTATTTAAAAGCCAAGGCCGGGCCCAGGTTCTGGTCTGGTCACCAGCGGTTCTGCCGACATGGTCCTCCTGCTGGTCTCTGAGGACGTCCTGGGCTTTGGGCTCTAGCATCTTCTCTGAAGACAAGACTTTATCGGATTCCTTGAGCATCCAGAATCTGTTCAGCCAGTGTCGAATAACTTCCCCCTCACCCAGAGTTCAGGCCAGTTGAGTCAGATGACAGGTTTTTATGGGCAGAAGAATTCTTCCCTGGGCCTACAAAACTGCCCCGCTGGGGAATGTCATTTGAGCGAAGACTTACGTGTGAAGGTATTTGCTTGGCTGGTCTGATGAGATGAAAGACAGACACAGCATTCAGGAGAGGCCTGATTTCTGTAAAAACAAATTTCAGTAGAGATAGCAAAGAGCTTTTGTTCCACTTGAATACAGAATATGTTTATAATTCTGTTTGCTGTTGAAAACATCCGCCTGCCACGCTCCCCCACGCAATGCCTTTCTGGACTCTGGGACACAGTGCCGTGTCTGCAGAATTCCTGGCCCTTTTTGCCTTCAGAGATGTGTTTCTTATTCCCAGATGAATGCCTTCACTTCCAGAGGAGACACTGTTGAAATGTTGGCTGCTTTCTCTACAACAGTTGTCTAACTCTGTTTTGCCCTTGGGCAGTCTGCCCTGCTCTGCAGGAGTGCGAAAAGCACCAGAATCCTCAGGTGGGGCAGACTGCCCGATTGTGCTCTGATCGATGGGTTGGCGGGGGCTGCTCTGTGTCTGGGACCTGTGGCCTCGCTGACCGGCCTGTAGGCCCCCCCCCCCTTTTACCTTGGGTGACCTCCTCCATCCGAGCCTGCAACCATATGCCCCTGGTACATGACTCACCTGGTACACAGAGAGGGCCTGGGCCATGGAGCCCAGTGGGCCTGGGTTCCAGCCCAGCCCTGTGGTCATCGGCCCCACAGCCTCAGGTGGCTTACCCGGCCTCTCTTCACTTGTTGTCTTCAGTGTTGAGTGAAGGTCACGAGCCCTCCCCAAGTGACTAAACGCTCTTTCACCCCCTGTGTGCTGGGCCCCGCGCCTAGGACATGATAATGACAGAGAGGTCGAGGTAGCCATGCCGTCCCCAAGGGTGCCACAGTGTGGAACATGGAACAGACGACAAGCAGAGCTGCCCATGGAGCTGGTGTGAGGGGTGACAGGGCTTCAGGCCTGACCAGGGAGGACCCTTCAGAGGAGATGGCTCTCGTTGGGGTCCGAGGGCAAGGAGGGTCTCTAAATGGAGAGTACAGGGAGCTGTTGTGGATGGAGGGGCCGACTGTGCAAAGGCCCTGGGGTGTTTGAGGATCTCTGCCAGTGGCGCTGGGCTATGGTGAGAGGGGGTAGGCATGCAGGCCCAGTGTCCTGGACGTAATCCCAGCGTCTCAGGAGGGGAGACCATGCTCACATTGGCATTTGTTGTCTGCCTAGCCATTGCACTAAGTGTGGGCAGGGACTGGTGGGGGCAGGGCTGGACAAGCTGGTGAGACAGAGGGGCCAAGCATCAGTGTATAGTGCAGGGAGAGCTGGCACCCCTGAGTGAGACAAAACCACAGCATGGACAAGGACCCCACCTGTCCACCCCATCAGAGGATGTGTCCTGGCTGCTCCTCCCCTGCCCTTGCCTCCTTTTGTCCAGTGGCCGCTCACCTATGACATCCAGAGAGCCACAGCCCCAAGGTCAAGCTGGAGGGTGGGCAGGTGGGCAGCAAGAAGGCTCTGCTCTGTGCTCAGCAGCTCTGGCCGGGTCCCTCCCTGGAGATGGGACAGTGAGACCATTGTATTTTTGTCAGGCCATGGTGTGTCCGGTGAGAGTACACCCTTGTCTTTCCTCAAGCAATTACAGAGTGGACTGGACAGTGCGCAGTTAAAAGGCTTCTCTCCTACGCAGTATCCTTGGGCCTCACTCCCGGCCAGGGAGGGAAACGTGCCCTCCTTGTGCTGTGTTTGCAGAGACAGGCGTGGGCGGCGTCTGTGCCCTCCACTCTCGGAAGTCACGCAGCCACACGGGCCCAAACAGTCCATTGCCTCTGAGCCTCTATGGACCGCTGGTACCGACCTGCTGAGCTGCAGGCATGTGAGCGCCAGTGCCTGAGATATGCTGTGCAGCCAGCCACCATGACCCTGCTCCTCCTGGCCATGCACTGTGGCCCCGTCTACATATCACCGTCTGCAGCAACCAAATGTAAACAATGTTTCTTATGCTGTGAGACCCCTGATGAACATGTAACAGACACCCAGGCCTCAGCCTGAAAATGCATGGTTAAGAACACTTCCTGCACTCTTTTTATTCTTAACTTTTTATTTTGAAACCATTTTTGACTTACAGAAAAGTTACAAAAATACTTTTTAGCTAATTGAAAATTAAAAGCCCATGCCATCTCCATACCTGGAGCAATTTCATTGTCTTTTTTTTTTTTTTTTTTTCAGATATATGTTTACTTTTATAATAATAGAAGGAATACTCTATAGAGAGCAATTGGAAAGTAATTTTATTTCACCAAAGACCCCTGCCTCATCCTCATTCCCCTTATATCTGCACAGCCCCATAAAACCTGTCTCATCATTTTTCAAATAGTAAAAAACTTTTCTGGTTATTTTCAGTCTCCCAATAATCTCACCTTAGAATTAATAGGTCCAGTTCAATGAAATGCAGAAAACTGGAAACTGTATCTCAGATTGAAACTTCTCACTTGCTCCCCTCACTTCTTTTGCTGAATGAGGCTTCTGATCCTTCCAGGCTGAGGGCAGGAAGTGTGTTTCTGAGTGGAACTCTTCTCATTTGGCACTGGGGCTCTCTGGGCTGGGTGGATTAATATTTCTCTTGATGTGTTGGACTCTTTTTATGTTTTAGAGTCGATCTTTTAATTCTTCAGTCATTTTTTAAAATACTGTGTTTTAGGTGAAAGTTTACATAGCAAATTAGGTTTCCATTTAACAATCTTTATACAAATTGTTCCATGACCATGGTTACATTTTTCATCATTTGACACATTTCTATCCAGGACTTTCTGTTGTGTCCCTGGTTAGAATGGTTGGTAGTAGTAGCTGGGCACTATGTAGTTCTTCTGGTGTCAGGCTAGGCAAGGCTGTGGTTCATGTGGACTATTAGTACTGTGGACCAGTTTCTTCTTTGAGTCTTTGGTTTTTGTTACTCTTTTGTGCCAGACAAGTAGAGACCAGTAGTTGTATTTCTTGCTCTCTTTTAAGCCTCAAATCTCACCCTTGGCAGAAGCAGTGAGCTGCCCTCCCAGGTGGTCCTGTCTCCACCACACATGTTCACACGAGCACAGACTCATGAGTTCAGGCTCATGTTTGAGGCAGGCACCAGTGCTAACAGCTACACCAAGAGCTGCTTCCCAGAGCAAGAGAGGACTGCGGTTTGAGTCACAAACAACAGGCGATAGAGGATTAGACCCCGTGGGGAAACGAGACAAACTAGTGAGAAAATTACAGATTCCAAACACACTTGCATAACTTATGAGGAATCTTTGTCCTGAAAGACCTCTGACATTCAAGAAGTGATTGTGAGAACCTGGCCCAGCCCTGCACCCCCTCAGGGCATCCTAAGTTTTTGAGATAGGGGTAGCGAAAACAGTCTTATGCCGGCTGGCTGCTGACAGAGCACTCACAGTGTTTCAGGAGTATGCGCAGCGTGGGATGGTGGTGAGTAGGCTGTCCGCCTAGCCTCCAAGGAGTGTGTGACGGCCCAGGGGGATGACTGTGAAGTGGGGACTGACTTGTGGCCCAGAGAGCCAGGCCCTGGCCCTGAGGCAGAGCATGTCCAAGCACTGAGATGCAGCACCCACTTGTTTTCTTCTTGGGGCAGCTCATTCGCTGGTGGCGGGCCAGCTCCCTCCTCTCCCTCCCTCCCCCACCCCCAGAGGGGCTGTCTTGAGCCTGGCTCTTGGTGGCAGCACTGCTGGGCCCTCCACCTCCCACTGCCTCCACGAGGTCACGTCCAGCCTGCTGACTACCCTGTGACCGGGTGCTGCTCCAGGCTCCAGGACAGATCACATGCAGGGCAGCAGGGGATACCAGCAGGCCCCAGACCCCTTCCCTCATCAGGAGACACTGGCCTCACTAGGCAGGGGATGGAGGTGGATGGCCCCACAGAACCCACATCTGAGCCCCTGAGCGGAGGATCAAAGGCCCAACCCAGCCCACGCATTGGGAGCTCACAAACAAGCTCGGAGCAACACTGCACCTGCCTGGAATGCGGCGAGGAGCCTGGCCTAGTCACAGGAGCCGGTGTCCACAGGAGCGCCCTCCCTCCACCCTCACCCCAGCCCTGTTCAGGGCTCAGTGAGTGCCTGGGGGATATCCAGTCACCTTCCTGATGTGGGTGACAGCGTCTGGGTAAACTGACAGTGCACTATCACCCAAGGCTGTAACTCTTGCTGGGAAGATGCACACCCCACGTCCCAACGTGGGAGCTGACTCAGTCAAGGTCCACCGCGTGACAGGTCACCAGGGGACCTGCAGACGAAGTGACTGTGGTGAGCTGCGCAGAGGCGGCATGCAGCAGAAGGAACGCGGCCCTTTACTCAGACGCATTTCATCGAATGTTTCCCACACCAGGGACGGCTCTCAGGCTGTGTGGTTGTCCAGGGTCTCCAGCCCCCCAACCAGGAACAAGGCTGACGTTGTTCAGTAGGAGAGCGGGATGCAGACCCAGGCTCATCCACCTGACCCTGTTGTCAACGGGGCCTGGGACTGGTACACCCCTCACCCCTGCCCTTGCACCCCGGACAAAACCAGACATGCCCTGTGTCCACCACCAGGTCTCTCAGGCCATCCCGTCAGATGTCCCCCTTCATTCAAACCAAAACCCACTGCCGTCAAGTTGATTCTGACTCGTAGTGACCCCGTAGGATTTCCAAAGCTGTAAATGTGTAAAGACTGCCAAATCCTTCTCCCACAGAGCTGCTGGTGGTTTCAAATCGCCAACCTTTTGATAAGTAGTCAGTCTCTTTAACCACCACGCCACCAGGGCTCAATCCCCCTGCATTCAGGAACTCTAAAGACGACCGGGCCATGGCCCCATTGTGTAGACGGACAACTACACTCAGACAGTTGAGGGATTGTCCCCAGTGGAGTCTGAGCCAGCGGCTGGAGCTGCCTCCCCCTCCCTTCTCTCAGGGCTGGACCCAGGGCCCCTTGCCCAGCCACATTCCTCCCAAGTCATGGTCAGAAGCACTCAGAGCTCTGTGCCAGCATGTTCCCAGCCCCAGGACATATCTGGGAAATGTTTGGGTCCGGAGGGCCAACAGTTACCTTTAATTTGTTGCAATGAAAAAACCTTCACCCCAACATATTTGTTGATTACTGTATTTTGCTCCAGGAATATTCCAGAACTTGTAGCATGACCTCTGTACAGAGCTCTCTAACCCAGCATTCCATTCTGTTTGTTTTGTCTTTGCCAGGTGACGTGTCAAATCTGGACCCCAAATTATCATTCAAAGGCACCAACTTGGACGTAGGAAACATTGTACTGGCGTTATACAGCGGCCTTTTTGCCTATGGAGGATGGTGGGTTCCAGACTGAGTCCTTGACCTTGGGGCATACGAGCCCTGAGTGTCCAAAAATCCTGACCCTCTCGAACATCGACAGCAGTTTAGGAGAGTGAATGATAGCCGTCTCACGGTGTCACTCTGAGCCACAAGCATCTCGAACAAGAGCAGGTAGCAGCCCTTGCCACTGTTTTCAGCTCCGTGGCTAGACCACTCAGAAGATGGCTCTGTAGATGAACCTTCACCTTCATTGATAGGCAGACAGCAGTTAGGCTTAGAAAACTGGGACCAGTGGTTCCAAACTTCCGGCCCATCAGAGAAGGGAAACAGGGAGAACTGCCTGCAGCTTCCCTCTGCCACGTTCCATCTCTCTGGGTCCCCGACTGTGTGGCCCCTGCTCTCAGGCCAGGCTGTACAGGGCAGAGTGAGAGCATAGGGAGAGTGCAGGTGGTAGAGAGGGGCACCAAGAGCATGCATGGGGCCCTAAGTGTGCATGTTGGATTGTCAACTTAATGAATGGCCTCTGCCAAATCCGCTCTAGAGTCAGGTTCACTTGCTCCTTAGTCCCTTTGGCTGCCCTTTGAGTTTCCTTCCCCTGTGGCCTCCAACCTCTAGATGTGTGGAAACCAAAGCCCTGAACTTCAGTGCTCGCCAAGGCTTGTAAACCAGACACACGGCAGATGTGTGAGGGTAGAGGGAAGGGCAGGGTGAGTCCCAGCTCAGGTTGGGCTTGGCATCCACCTCAGAGGCAGTGCTGGCTGCACCCATAGGAGGACAGAGGCAAGGAGGAGAGGCATGGCTGCCCCAGCTTGGCCGGGCAGTTTTCCCATGGGGCTCTGCTGTTTTGCCGGCAGGACTGTCGCTCTCCCAGTAGATGCACCATCCCTGGCTGCTCACCAAGGATGAGGGCCCCAGCAGGGAGGTGATTAGGGGGTGCCTCCCCCTAGACCCAGAGCAACCAGGAGGGTCCCCAGTGAACTCTATTCCTTTTTTTTTTTTTTTTCTTTAATGATCATGGGAGGAAAAGATATTTAAACTTTGCTCTTTAAATTACAGGAATTACTTGAATCTTGTCACAGAAGAAATGATAAACCCCTACAGGTAAGTGCACGGATGCAGACATTTGTTTTCATTATGTAAGTTTGAGAGAGAAAAAGAAGCCTAATTCTATCGAGAAACTGGTGTGTGAAGTCAGCCCAGCCTCTAGCAAAGGCAATGTTGAGCTCCTTCTGAGAAAGGGATTGAGGGTAGAAGAATACTGGCGAGGGGGGCTAGTTTCTGGGCCCAAAGGGGCCACAGGGTGGCTGTGACCTTGGACAGTCATGAAGGCCTCTCGAGTCCCCTCAGAATGTGCAGCACACTCCCCTTCAAGTGCCTACACAAGGCCTGGAAACTTCTAGCACACCAGAATGAGAACCCTCAGCCATTCTCCTGGGTGTGTGTGTGCTCAGAAAGTGAGGTACAGCTCCCTGGGGCCACCAGCACAGTGACATGTCAGGACAGTGGCCTGGGACACAGATGGGGAGGCCTTCTCTGGTTATAGAGGCAGTCTCAGCCAGTCACAGCCTTAAAGTGACCACTTACTCTGAGAACTAGAGTCTGGGTCTGCCGTGGCCGTGCCACCTTTCAAGTCACCACTGGCTTAGTATCTTCCTCCTGCGAGGACCAGGGTGACCCCACCTCAGGGTCCTGGTTAGAAGGCTCTCAGATTCCACCCAGCTCAGGAGGGTAGGTCCAGGTCACACCACTGCTCCGCCACTCTGCCCATAGCAGACATTGCTAATTGATTGCAGAGCTCCAGCGTGAGCCAGATTTGCCTTGGAATCCTTCTCAAACCAGGTGAGGCAGCTGTTTCCAACAAAAGTGGTGCCTACCCCCAAACTCATTCTGTGCTTTCTGGCCAGGAACATGAGCCCCAAGGGGAGCTGCCTGTCTGTTACTCTGACCCTAACACTCAAGTTTGTCTGCCATGGACACTTCTCCCACATGGCTGTACACTCATGCTGTTTGCTCAAGTCCGTTTTGGGGACCAGGAGGCATTAGGGAAGTTCGAGGAGAAACAGATGGACCCTACTGCCCAGTTAGAAAGGAGGGGCTGGGCCATTTTTTCCAGTTTCCTCCGATATGGTAGATCAGTCCCTCAGTGAACCTCAGTGAAATCAGGATAAGATGGGTGCTTGGGAAGTGAGGCCATCTTTACGGAAATTCCTTTGTTCTCCCTGCTCACAGACTTTCTGAAGCATGCCTCCATGTGGGAAGGGCGTGGAGGGGTTGCTGATTGGGGCCAATGTGGGCGCCCACTGTGCAGGGAGGGTGCTGAGTGGGTTCCCTCAGGTGTCTTGGTGCTGTGCAGTCCCCACAGTCCCCCAGCAGGAGCCCCGTGTCACAGACTGGAGCCAAGGCAGCGGGCTGTGCTCCTGGCCTGGGTTTGCCATATCACGGAGTGAAGCTACGGGGCAGCCTGCTGTGCAGTGGGGGCCTGGGTCCTCACGCTGAGGTTCGGCGCTTTGTCCTGGGCTGCGGTCTGATAATGTGTCCTTCGATTCCTTCAGAAACCTGCCCCTGGCCATCATCATCTCCCTGCCTATCGTCACCCTGGTGTATGTGCTCACAAACCTGGCCTACTTCACCACCTTGTCCACGGAGCAGATGCTGGCATCCGAGGCCGTGGCTGTGGTAAGATGCCACCCTGTGATGGGGGTGTGGGGTTAGGGAGACAACCCCTGTCCTAGAAGGAGGGGGTAGGGTGTTGAAATCAGCCTCAGCTGGAAAGGACTGCAGTAGGGAAGCCCCAGCAGTCGCCCCAGCCCTAGCTTGCAGGGAGCCACCTGTCAGGGAGTGTTCAGAACCCTCAGTGCCCCTGCAGCCTGGCTGGTTCTAAGTCCGTACCTTGGGGAGGGGGCAGAGGTAAGATCTTGCTCTGAGGTCCAGGAGTGAGGCCACCTGGCACCCTGTAGCTCTCCACACATCCTTTCGGAGCTGTGAGGCAGAATGCCTGAACTTAGTATCCTGTGTCTCTCCTCAGGACTTTGGGAACTACCACCTGGGGGTCATGGCCTGGATCATCCCCATCTTTGTGGGCTTGTCGTGCTTTGGCTCTGTCAACGGGTCCCTCTTTACGTCCTCAAGGTGAGTGTGCCGGGCAGGCAGGTCCAGGTCACAGCACCAGGTGATGCGGGCCTGAAAGGTTCTGCTCTGTTACAGCGAGCAGTATGTCACTGTTAACAGTCTCGCTGGTATAGACGTAGATGAAGGAAGGGGGATCTTCGCTCACCTCACTGCCCAGAGAGGCACAGTTTCTGCGTCATTCTCTAGACTAGTGTAACAGGCTGCCACTCTGAACCCTCCCCAGTGCTGAGAAGTGGGATGAGAGAGAACCCGGAGTTGCCTCCTTGCCAACCAAGTCAGCGAGGACACTGAGGGCCGGCAGCAGGGAGCCCAGTTTCTGACTCTGGCCAGCACGAGCACACACGAGCAGCCCCGAACCCCACCCTGCCACCTTCCTCAGGCATCTCCTGGACTTCGTACCTGGGGCCATGTGGCATTGTCCTTCCTGAGGCTAACAACCGTTCCACTCTGCCCACAGGCTCTTCTTCGTAGGATCCAGGGAGGGCCACCTGCCCTCCATCCTCTCCATGATCCACCCACGGCTCCTGACCCCCATGCCGTCACTCGTGTTCACGGTAAGCCACAGCCCAGCCCAGCACCCTCCATTCCTGGGGTGAGCAAGCGAATTAAAATGGCAGATTCTAGGGGACTCCCCGGAAGGAGGCTGCTTGCTCAGATGCTCAGTGAGGCACCTAGAGGCTTGGCCCGGAGCGCGAGTCGGGCTGCAGATCAGAGGCAGAGACCAAGACCGCACTGCAAAGGGTTAACATGAGGGTTTCCATGTATTGTTCACACGCTGACGTGTGCCGTGAAACACCATAGAGCGCTAGACTTTAAAAAAAAAAATGTTTTTAATTCCAAAAATCACACATAGTAGTTGTAAAACTTCAAACAATATGGAACTGTGTGAAGCAGAAGTGCCTGCCTCCGCGAGGGAACCATGGTTTCTAGAACTTGGTTTCCTGAGTGTCTTTCTGGACCTTTGTGGGTATGTTTACAGGTGTGCAGGCACATGCTCACACACGCACATGGTGCTGGTTTTTTAATGGGATCACATTATACATGTTTTTCTTCAGATTGCCTTATATTTTTCCAAGTCAGGCCGTACATGACATCAGTTCTCCGCTGCCTCTGATAACAAATTACCTCAGCCACTGACCAGCCCACATGGGGGCTCACCCACCTGCCCAGGGCCCACACGCCCGCCCAGGGCCCACCCACCGGGGGCTTACTCACCCACCAAGGCCTCGCCCACCTGCTGGGGGCTCACCTGCCTACTGGGGGCTCACCCACTCACATGGGGGCTCACCACCCACCCGGAGCTCACCTGCCCACATGGGGGCTCACCCGCCTGCTGGGGGCTCACCCACCCACGTGGGGGCTCACCTGCCCGCATAGGGGTTTACTGCCCATGTAAGGGCTCACCCGCCCACATGGGGGCTCACCACCCACCCGGGGCTCACCCACCCATATGGAGGCTCACTTGCCTGCGTAGGGGCTCACTCTCGCTGGCCTGTTTTCAGTGCGCCATGACCCTGCTCTACGCCTTCTCCAAAGACATCTTTTCCGTCATCAACTTCTTCAGCTTCTTCAACTGGCTCTGTGTGGCCCTGGCCATCATCGGGATGATGTGGCTGCGTTACAAGAAGCCGGAGCTGGAGCGGCCTATCAAGGTGAGGGTGCTGGGTGGGCGGGAGGGCAGCCCTCCTGAGAGCTTGCAGCGGGCTGCAACATCCCTTATCTGAGCCTCAGCCCCCTACCCCACAAGCCAGGGATGGTGAGGCCTCCCCCGAGGGTCCTGGTGCAGACCAAGCAAGATGGCTGGGTGCAGATGCTTTAGGCCAGACATGGAAGGCTACTGGGCTAGTGGATCAATCCGTGCTGTTTATCGAGAGCTTCTCGAGGGCAAGGCATGACCAGAAGGCCTTGCCCTCTTAACGTAAACAATCCTCTGAGGGAAACAACACAGAACAACAGCAGGTGGGAGGTGCTGGGCTGGGGTGGGAGGTGGGTGGGGGTGCAGTGCTGGCCAGGGTGACCAGGGTCGGTGCCTTGGAAAGGTGGTCTGTGATGGGGGTGGGGGGCTGGCGAGGCTGCAGGAGGCAGATGGTGGGGTTGAATGGGTGCTTTGGGGATTGGCTGTGCCCGAGTGTAGTAGAGGGTTTGGAGTACATGATCCTCCTCCTGTTTGAGGGCCAGTCTGTCTGTATGTCCAGGAGAAGTTGAGGTGCTGTACAAGGCCTCATGAAAGTGGGAGCTTGCCTGAACTCGTTAACTCCATGCTGGGGGACAGCTGGCCATGGGGGACCTTGTCTCCAGGAGGGGGGCCCAAATGAAGCCGTGCTGCTAGAGGGGCTCGGCTGAGCCAGACCCCCAGTCCCCAATGGGAAGAGAGCCTGAGCTGCTGTGGGGCATCTGCCGGCTGGGCCAGGCGGCCCGCTGTCTGCACTGACCACCTGCAGCCCTTGCTCAGCCTGTGTCTCAGGGCTGTGGACTTCCTGTCGCCTGGTGGGCTAGCACCAGCACACAGTGAACATGCTGCGGGGAGGCACCCCCAGTACCCAGCCCCTCAGACGCAGTAGAGCCCGCCCAGGTGGCTGCTTCCAGGCTGCTGTTTCAGGACACGCTGTCCCTCAACCACAGGCTGGTGCGCCTGCTTACTGTGCGGATAAGGTCTGCCCAGCAGTGCTAGCGCTGCTCCTCCTCACAGTGGCCACAGGTGGGTTGTGGTGGCATTCCCAGCTTATGATGTGGTCACCTGCCACTGTCCCCAGAGACACCCTGGCTGTTTGTGTTCCTTGTCCACACCCAGCTTTTGAGCTGTGGATTATTATACACCAGATGCCACGGGCTGACTGAGGGTGAGCAGTGAGCAAGACACTCTGTTCTCAGGAAGCCACAGCAGGGTAGGGTACACTGAAACCCGATTCAAGTCAGGTCCGGGAAGCCTGCTGGGTCCCTTGAGGACAGTAGTTCTGGGGCTGGCTAGGCCAGCGGCCCTCAGAGAGAGGAGGATAGTCACCCTGGGCCATGTGGGACAGGTGGGCTTGGAGCCCATCAGTGTGGGTGCTTGGGGTGTCCTGGGGAGGCCGGTTGATAGGAGGTGAGGGCCGCGCAGGGGGAGATGGAGAGGCTGCTCCAGTGAGAGCATGAGGACGGGGTGAGGTGGCCTCAGGGCAGCGGGCAGAGCATTCTAGACTCGAGGGCAGATGGGATGAGGAGGCAGAGGGAAGGAGTTGGCAGTCGCCGCCACCTTAGGGGACACTGCGCTGGGCACACTGGTAAAATTTGCAAATGGATAGGGTGATGGTTGAATAACGTGATGAACATAATGTCACGGAACTGTACGTGTGAAAATCATTGAAATGGCAAATGTTTGGTTGCCTGTATACTTACTACAATAAAAAAACTTAAAAAAAATAGCTGCTATGCCCCCGCCACCCCCAGCGCACTGCACTGGGCTGACCCCTGTTACCTCTGCATGCCTAGGTGAACCTGGCCCTGCCCATGTTCTTCACGTTGGCCTGCCTCTTCCTCATCGCTGTCTCCTTCTGGAAAACTCCCGTGGAGTGCGGCATCGGCTTTGCCATCATCCTCAGTGGCCTCCCTGTCTACTTCATCGGAGTCTGGTGGAAAAACAAGCCCAAGTGGCTCCTCCAGGGCGTCTGTGAGTACCTGACCCCCCGGGCCACAAGGGGGCACAGCGTGCCGCAGCAGCCCTCAGACCCCCACACCCCGCTTCTGGGCAGGACCTCAGACCCTCATACCCCTACGCCCAGGGGTATGCATGAGTCTTGCTGGGGGTACTGTGGAGGGTTGTGGTCACTCTGGGTGCCTATCAGTGATGCTTGCCCCATGTTTCAGGGATAAGTCTCCCAGCATGGGCCCAGCTAATCCCAGAACAAAGGATTCCAAAAAACCAGGCTGCTTCAGCCGAGTAGTGGCTTCCTGCCACCTGCCCCGGATCACACATCCACGTGACCCTGAAAAGCAGGGAGGTGGAAAGGGAGCCTGTATGGCTTTCTGTGTGTGGCGCCCACAGAGAGCTACCCACCCAGCTTTAGGCCGTGTGCTGGACAGGCTGCAGATTAGGGACATTTACGCCAGGGGCCTTGACCCAGGTTCCATGTGAACAGGGGGCTCCTGAATTCCCAGGTGGCAGTGGTGATGGGGCAGGAGGCACTCTGTGTCCCCCTGAGACCAAGCCACAGTCAGTCGTGGGGGGACCTTGGCTCCAGCTGTGGGCTGTGAGGTTGTGTTCGTCACTCTCAGACACACACCAAGAGCCTGAAGCGGAAAACAGCCTTTTGTCCTGAGCCAGACTCTGCCCCGAGGGATGATGGGGGAGCGTGCGTGGGTGACCCGCAGCAGGGCGTCTACTAACAGGGCAGTGCTTCCCCCCAAAACCTGGGCACCTACCAGTTGGTGGCCCAGGGGTGCGGGCCTGTGGAAAAGGCCACCAAACAGGCCTCCTGCCCAGGCTACATCCAGCCTCACGTTGCAGACAGGTGCCCCACAGAGAGGGCCACGGGCACCTTTTCTTTGGCCTGCCCTATGCACAAACCTCTCTTAAAGGCACAAGTCAGGAGGTTCTGTGTAAACGCCTGATTTCTGACTTCTCTCACAACTTTGGAGCTGTGACATCTCTGGGTTGGCAAGAGCTGGGTTGAGTAGGGCAGGTGAGGGAAGGGCGGGTGAACCCTGGCTTGTGACACCCCATCACCTGCCAGCCCTGGGGTGTTTGACTGTGGCCCCCTGAGCTGACTCGGTCTTCTCTCCCCCACACAGTTTCCACCACTGTCCTTTGCCAGAAGCTCATGGAAGTGGTCCCCCAGGAGACATAGCCACAAGGGCAGAGATGCTACAGGAGAGAAAACACACAAATGTCATTTTAAACACCCCATACCCTTGAAAAGCAACTCAGTTCCTAACATCCAGACACTGCAGCTGGGTGCCACCAGCCATCCAAAGCCCCTGCCACCTCCCATCTCCAAGCCAGCAGCTGGTGCTGCTGTGAAGAACTGGTACGAAGTCAGTCCCAGACGACAAGTCGTCAGTGCCCAGAGCACGAGGAACAGACTGTTGAATGAGGACAGGCCAGCACTCTTGACAGCGCGGTAGTGGGGGCAGGGGACACATGCTATTTTATTATGTTGGGTGCTGCTCCCTCCCCACCTTCATTTATTTATATTATTTTTTTAACTTAAATTTTGGGTCAAGTAGAAGCCACCAAGATGATTATTTTTTAAAAAGAAATGGGTGACGTTGAGCTGGAAAGAGGAAGAGCCGTCTTTGCTCCAATGCCACCAATGGCATACTGCACTTCCGGAAGGGTCCAGCTTCTGGTTCCAGTTCTAGGCCCCCAGGAGGGGAGGATTCTGAGAGCCAAACACTCCAGCCCGGAACATTCCAGAACTACTGAGACTTGGACCTTGCTTCCTCACACACAGACCTGCACTGTGGGGATGGCAGCCGGCCCCTCTTGGGGGCTCGGCTCAGTACGTGTGTTGTTTCCTCATTTTTTATTGTTATAAGGGTAGTGACATTAATTAAAACTCACTCCCAGGGCGCCTCTCTTTGCCTTACAGACCTGAGGTGGCGCCCCCACCCTAAGAAAGAAAAACATCTGTGAAACCGTAGCCCGTCTTAGAGAAGTGCTTGTAGAATGGGAAGTCTTGGGTTGTCTCTGACATTAGCCCTAGCACCCTGGAAAGATCTGGACGACTACAGGCCTGGAGCAGAGGTCATGCTGCCTGGCACATGCTCTGCAGGGCTGGTTTCTGGGCTGCCCCCTACTCAGGACCCTCTGGACTCTGCAGACCCACACCTGGAGTGAAGGCACGGCCCCGCAGAACTGGCAGCCCTGAGCACCGGTCCCCAGCTGCTCTCCACCCACTCCGGGAGTCTGCATCTGAGTCCGTTTCGATAAAACTCTGCTCTGGGAATCTTTTAGAAATGGATGGAGACAGGAAAGGCAGATAAGCTGTGGCTGGGACCCTAGTGGGCTCCTCAGCCCAGCTTCACACTGGGACTCCCACTGGGCAGTGCAGTGTGCCCCCCTGGGGTCCCATTCTGAAGAACTGGCCACCACGGCTCCAGCCGACTCCTCAGCAGCCCCCTCTGGCCAAGGGGCCATCCCCTGTGCTGGTCACCTGCACAGCTGTCCTGTCTCAATTCCCATTGCTTAGAGGAAAGCAGCCCACACCCTGCTCTGCGCCTGGTGCGAAGGCTGCTTGCCTGCAGTCAGACTCAGCCCCTTCTCTAGATGAGGCTGCACTGGGGCCTGGCCAGTGGGTTTGTCCCTGGCTGACTCCTGGCTGTGACCACATCCAGGGGACCCTTCTGGAGGCCAAACGCTGTCTAAGACCAGACAACCAGGAATTACAGTGATAGGCAAAGTGGACTGCAGGCCCTGGCTAGGTAAAACTGTGCTTAGGCTTCTGCCAGTGACACCCCCTGGAAGAGAGGGCTGAGCTGCATCCTCCGACTGCTGCCTGGTGTTTCCGTGTGGGACACAGCCACCTGCCCGGAAGCTGCTGCGCACCTGGGCCTGGGAACCACACTGACGGGCCCAGCACAACCTGGCGAGCAGTGTGAGGAGGGGGCTACAGGAACTGCTTATCCCACCGCTCAGTCAGAAGAAAACACCTCATAACCCAGCTGTGGTTAATGCCAGTCCCTCTGCTGCTGACTGAAACGTGTGTGCTGGGAGGAGCCGCAGGACCTGCTGCCGATGGTAGCCAATCCCCCCAAACGACCCCTTACTTGGCCTCAGCGGCTCAGCCTCCCCAACAGCTTCTCCCTGGGCTTGTTGGACACGTTTGCAAACCACCCAACCCTGATCCCATCCCACTGTGCACAGCTGGGCAAAGTGAGGCCCAGACTTCAATGAGCACGTCTCGGTTTACTCAGTGAGCCCGTGGCAGTGCTGAGCCCAGACCCTGGCTGGCAGCCCCCTGCACCCTGCTGGGTACCCGCCATTGAGAAGGGTGGCTGGAGGGCTCTGAGCACAGGGAGGTGCTCACCAAAATCACAGAGGCAGCAGCTAACTCCTTCCCAGCCACCAGGGTTACCTTTCTGAACTGAGATGGTGGCAGGTGGGCTGGCTTGAGAATCCCCAGGCACTGTCTGAGGTTTGCTGGCTGTGTAGCTCTGCCTGGCTTCTGGGCCTGGGTCCCTACTCTGGAGGGTGAGGCCTGCTGGGGGGAGTTTCCCATGGTGCTGAGTCAAGCACACCCCGTGGCCCCTGCCTCCCCCACCTCTGACGTGTTGGCGCCCTGGTCAGGGCCAGGCCACAGGGGCTGCTGAGAGACTGCTTTTTCTGACCTCTACTGATGTGTGTCCCGAGGGTTCACATTTGTGAGTTCTAAATATTTTTTGTTAAAAGAAGCAAACCCTGGCATAACGAGCGTCTGTCCAGTGTGTTGCTATTTTCTTTTGCCCTAACATCTTACTAATTTACAGGCTGCCACAGCACACCACATTTATTTATTGCCACAGTCGGCGCTGGTCTCCTGTTCCTGAGAGATGAGCCCTGTGTTTGCGTTCCTGCCTGTTTCCAGCTTGGTCGTGCCTACGCCGTGTCATGGGCTGACCAGAACGTGACGTCCTTTTGCTGTGTTAATGACATGTGTGGCTGCAGCGTGTCTTCATTGTATGTTAATGGCTAACCTATCTGTTACACTTGGCTGGTTTGGGGTGGACGGTTCTGGTTTTGTTTTTTTGTGTGTGGGGTTTTTTGTTTATTTTTTAAAGAAAAACAGTATGAATTAGAAGTCTTGCTGGTGGTCTTCTGTGTTCTTTACTTGAGCGCCAAATTCTGGGCCTCAGAATGTTCCTTGGGGCTCCTCCCTGAGGGGTGGGGCTGTTGTGTTCCTTGGCCCATGACCACTGAGGCCCGCCTCAGTCATTCATCCATGCATTCATTCACCAGTATGGCACGTAGAGGGCCGCAATGTCAGATCTGGCGCAGAGGCTGAGCAAGGCAGAAAGTTAACAAGGGAGTGAGCGTGTTGGCAGCCGGGAGCGAGAACAGCAGGGTCCACCTAGGAGAAGAAGGGGCCCCGGGAGAGTGGGGAGAATGGTCCAGGCTGAGGGGGCAGCAAGTGCAGAGGCCCTGGGGTGGGGGGTCACTTGTGGGGCCCATAGTGATGCAGACTTGGGGAGACGAGTCACTGTGCTACAAGGGACAGCATGAGGTGGACCACTGGGCCTGAGCACCGGGGAGTAAGGAAGAGGGCTATTCCCAGCTCTGGGTTGGGGTGAGGAAAAGGTACATCCGGAGGTAAGGTGGCCTAGACCTCATTTCATCCCACATTCCCGTGAGAGGATCTCTGAGACTTTGAGAGAGGCAGCAGGACTCTGCACCAAACCCTGGCCTTTCCTCCAAACTGGGCTCGCTTCATTTGGGCAAACCCCTGTTTGTATGTTGCTATCTGAGCAGGGCTTTGAGGCCAGGCAGGACCTGGCTCTGCCAGGATGGGAAGGACAATGCTGGAGGAAGAGGTAGGAGCCCTTGTGCACCAGTGCAGAGGGAGCCATTAGTCAGGCTCGGAGCAGGGGCGTGACCAGCTTCCAGACTTCACGAGGAGGGGCCGGTGAGCACCAGGCACCGGAAAGCTGCCACCGCTTGAGACCACGGGGTTCCCAACAGCCTGATGAGCAACGCCCACCTTACTAAACTCCAAAGTAGGCAAGCTGGTGGTTCTCAGCCCAGCAGTGCCCCCACCCAAATAAGCACATGGAGGAGGAACTCTTACCCTCTCCCGGGCAGGCAGGCTGGGGTGGTGGCTCGAAGGTGGGAGATGATGATGGCTAAACCCAAGTACGCAGGACCTCTGAGCCCTTTCTTTAGGGCGCCTTGTGAGCTTTGTTAAAGGGCTGGCAGGCCCATCTGGAGCTGAAGCTTTGGAGGTGGGCCCTGGAATCTGCTTGTGGAACCAAGTTCCCAGGGGCTTTAGATACGACACGCATGCATGCACATGCATGCACGAACACGTGCACCCTGTGCATCAGGATTCAAATCTGAATGTGGAACAAACGTCCCAGGGACTTTAGATCTGTTACGCACACACACACACATACACACACCTGCATCAGGATTCAAATATAGTTTAATAATGGCAGAAACCGCAGTAGTTATGGCGATTGACTGCTAAATGAAAGGTTGGCCGTTCTAAACGACCAGAGGTTCCTTGGGAGAAAGATGTGGCAGTCTGCCTCCGTAGAGATTTATAGTCTTGGACACCCTATGGGGTTGCTATGAGTTGGAATCACTCAATGGCAGTGGGTTGGCTGAAAACAATACAAGGCTGTTAACAGCAAATATAAGTAATTTCTGGATGACTCACGCCTCCTCACTCCCTACCTTGATGGATAATTGGGATTTGGCTGCATTACAAAGGAGCTGAAATTTGCAAAGTCCCTCCCAATGTTTGGAGATGGTTGGCGGTCTTCAGTGGCCTTGGGCAAATTCATTCTTCTTGTAAAATGCTTGTTGGGACAGACTTGGTAAGACAGAAGAGAATTGAGGTGGTGCGGCCGGCAGGCAGTCCCACCTCAGCCTCGACTGGCGCTAAGCCGCCCAGCTGCTGCCCCCAGACTCCAGCCTTCCTCAGCCATCTTGGTGACACAGGTGTCAGCATTGCTGGGGGACTGATGAGCCCCCATCCCCGCACATGGGGGTCTGTCAGGGTGAGACTGGGAATCAGTGTGGTGGCAGCCCCACCTTCCACCGACCTCCCAGGCCTGGGAGCTCTTGTTCTCCTTTAAGCCCGAGGGGCTCCCAGACAGAGCTTGCATTGCTGCCAGGCCCCCTGGCCTCCTGAGCTTCCGTGTGGATGTCCCAGTGAGCTCCTTTGTGCTCTTTGGTGACAAGGTTGAATTTTACCTGAGCCCTGTGCTCCTGGGAAAGTAAAGGTTAAGAAATTCTCTGCCCTTCAAGTTCTAGAAACGACTGACTGCAAAGAACCACCTCCCCCATATGACCTAGATATAACTCAAGGGTGCCCCCTTTTCCCTGGACAAGGCCAGGCACAGAGCCTCTACATTCCCTTCATAAACAATTAAGGGAACCGCTTGCACCCCCTAACCAATCAGAACGAAATGCCTGTTGACCAAACTGATTCTGGGCATTTGGTGCCACCTGCCCATTAGGAGCAAAGAGCCTGGGGTCTGGCCTCATTCTTTCCGTTTATCCCTCAATACTGACAAGGGTTTTCCAGAGGCTACACGCGTGTGGAGGGCCAGTGTACAGTAGAGGGTGAGGCGGTCCACCTTCATGAGGCTCACAGTCTGGAAGGAACAGGACTGGGATGCCGAGACAGCTATGCAGGGCAGTTGGTCGGCACTGGCCGTGTGGCTGGTAGAGAGCTGGCTCCCGGGGTTTGTCAGAGTCTCGATGGTGTTCACAGCCAAGGCCCAAACTTGACTGTTAGAGGAGAATGAAAGTGAGGCGAGGCGAGGTGAGAGCCCAGGACAGGCCTGAGAACAAGGCCCTCTCTTTTGGCTGGAGTTTCAAGGGTGCAGTGGCCATCTTGCCTTCGTAGAGCCAGCAAAGAAGAGTGCAGAGGCTGGAGGAGGAGCGGCATGGGGGTTTGCGGCCTGGTCTGAGCCCTGATCAAACCGCACCTGAAGGCCAAGGCTACTCCTGACCTATCCAGTACTCAGGCCAACACAGTTCCATGTTTACTCCCACCAGTTTGTGCCATCCTTATGCAGCAAAGAGTCTGGACCAGAAAATCAAAGGTACCTGGCAGTGGGGCTGGGGGTGAGGGTGACGTGAGCAGAGCCTGTGCCAAGGCTGCAAGGCAGGCACTTCTGATGCCCATGGGTGAAGCAGATGCTCATGTGACCAGAAGCACAGTTAAGGACATGATTTGACATTTATCTCACATATTTTAAAACTTTTTAGTGAAGTGTGCCATGCATACAACAGAGTGAATTTAATGGTTACGTGTAATTTTAAAAATAAGAAAGTACATGGCTGCGTGCTCACCACCAGCCTAAGACGAAGAACATGGTCAATCCCTTTGAAAACTCCTCAGCCCCTCCCCAACTGAGTCCCCCTTTCTTCCCCCAGAGAAGACCATTTCCTGAATTCTGTCTTAATAGTCCCTCGCTTCTCTTTATAGTTTAACTCCTGGATCAGAATTTCTGAAGGCAGGGCCCTGGAAGGCCCAAGCGTTCGTGCTCACCACTGCTCCAAACTGGAGATAGTGAACTGACCTGCAGCAACTGGTGATGGTGTTATCTCCATCCCAGAAAGGAGAACAACAGGGCTCTGAGAGACTCCTTCACCTGCCCAGAGGTAGGATTGGGTCTACTCTACTGTGATACAGAATGGTAGGAAGCATAGTGTGAGGACCATCTGGAGGACCACCTGGCCCTCCGGCCCCATATTATTAGACCTTCTACCCTAGTCCATCTTCTTTCTGGGCCTAGCCCAAGTCCAAGCCATCTGGTCCATCTCCAGTGAAAACAACACCCAAAGTCGCTCTTCTGTGACTTGTCCAGGCTGTCCGAGTCCAGTGGTCTCCCTTGGGGCCCAGGCACTCTTCACCCTGCCAGAAAACCCTCCTAAGTTCCTTTTGTGCACCCGGTCACACCAAGGAGGCCACATGGCCGTTTCTCCTCTCAGGCTCTGGTTCCAACAAGACCAGTGCTTCCCTGCTTAAATCCAGAGGGTGATTAAATCCCACAAGTAGGGACTTAACCATAGGATTACTGCCAAAGTCACACACTCACACAGAGTGAGTCTCTGCCAGTCTCCCTGAGTCAGATCCTCTCTGGGTCAGAGAGGGTGAGGGAGGGTCTCAGAAGCTGGTCGGAGAAGTGTCACACGGCCCGGGCCACCCCTGGGCAGGGCTCTGACCCCTTCAAATGAGGGCCCTGCGACCACAAAATCAGGGCCTCCACTTTAGTCACCACCCTTCCAGGTTCTCTGACAAGGAGCCTGGGCTGCCCTCAAGGCAACCGTGCCCTTTGGACGGATGCCTGGGA